CATAAAGAATGAGAAACTAGACATTTATAGCGAAATCAATGCATATTGAGGCCATACTCCTAAGTGAACTAAATAGGACACACATATGTAAATACCAAATAGTTTCTCTAGTGTGAGAAACAAAGTGTAAATAAGGATTAAAATGATTAAAACGAATAACTGATAATTTGAAATAGGAAAAAGTCCTAAGGTGTAGGGATGGTGGGAGGGGAAGGGGAAAGGAAAGAAGGGAAAGGAAAAATTATGAGAAAAGAAAAAAAATGGAAATGAAATCTATGTAAATAGGGAAGGTTGGAGGGGGTGAAGGGTGCACAGGTAATGGGGAAAAAAATAAGAACCAAGATACATCATGTACAGGTACAAGCAAATGATAAATGTAAACATATTGTATACCTAAAATGTACCAATAAAAGAATTTAAAAGAAAAAACAGTAACATCAGCAATATGGTAGAGAGATTAGATATAAGAAGAGCCTGAAAGCACAGACAGCAGATAGAAAGCTGCTGCATTTGTTTTTGGTAGAAACTAAGAAAATGGCAGTGGCCATGGAGAAAAGGAAAAAGACTAATAATACTTCAACAAGTATTTGTGAGTATTATTTGTCAGATGCTATGCAAGATTTTTGGGCTTGGCATACTTGTAATCTGAGCTACTCCTAAAACTGGGGCTGGAGTAACCCAAGTTCAAGGCTAGCCTGGGCCACTTCACTAGATCCTGTCTCAAAATAGGGTTGGGGTGGGGGCTAGGTATGTAGCTCAGTTCTTGCTGTGTTCAATACCTAGTACCACAGAAACAAAAATAAAGGATGATAACTTTTGAATATTCACTATGCCATGCCACACACGTTTCAATGATGAGAGACATATAATCATAAATAAAACCATCAGAAATTGGGCTACAAAGAGAATTAAAATATAGGATAGTATGGAAGGCTGTGTCTATAGATATTTTAGTCTAGGTAATCAGGCAATGCTTTTCTGATGAGACATAGGAGTGAATTCTGAATGATGAGGAAGAGAGGTCAGGGGGATGAGCTTCTTAGGCATAGGGAAGGGGCAGGGCAAAAGTTCTAACTACAGTATACGGAATTCATTCAATTCTCTCCATTTGCCATTCTAGCCCCAAACATCAACATCTTTTGCCTGGACTATGGTCACAAACTCCTAACTAATATTTCCACTACCATTAGTACTCCTCAGTACAGTCTGTACTTTAGTAGAGTGAATCAAAGACAAAACAAAGCAAAACAAACCATTAAACATCTATGTTATTGTCCAGCCTTTAATGGCTTACTACTGCACTCAGAACAAAATCCAAATCCTTAACTTTGTCCAACAAAGCCTACACGATCCAGCCCAGTCTACCTCTAATCCACTCACATGCTACAGTAACAGCCTCCATTTGATTCCTTCAATGGATATTTTTCCACCAGAAGGGTCTATACATATACTTCTGACAGGAATTCTCTTCCCTGTTCTTGGTTTGGTTAATTCCTATTACTCCTCAAGATCTTAACTTAAAGGTCATTCCTCAGGGAAGCTTTTTGTGGTTTCCCAAAGTAAATCAGGTACCCACTAAAATCTCCTCTTCTATTCTTTGGCTTTTTAAAAATTGTACTTTCCCCAATTTGTAAAAATGTATTTGTGAGATTATTCACTTAATGCCTCTTCCAATAAACTAAAAGGAAAGGATGCTGTTTATTTGTTCATTCTCTGTGCCCAGGATAAATGCACACCTCTTAGGAAGTATAATAAATATCTGATAACTGAGGAGCCATTATCTGTTGACCTGTTGGACTTTACAGATGGGAAGGCTCAATCAGAACCACCACCCCCGTTCCCCACCCCTACTCCACAGAAGAAATGATTGATTTTTAAAATTTTAGACAGTAAAAACCAAGACTGTTTTTTTTTGGGGGGTCGGTACCGGGGATCGAATTCAGGTCCTTGTGCTTGAGAGGCAGGCGCGGTGCCACTGAGCTAAATCCCTGGCCCCATAAATCTCAGATTAGTTTAAATAAAGCTGGGAAGATACATAAAAGCAGTCTTTAGTTCCTGTGAACTAGAATTGGTGTCCCAACGGAAAACTGTTCCCTAAGGTTTCTAGTTAAATATATTAAATATTCCTGTCTTGAAGGTTCATAATGACCATCTGCATATTAATAACCCCAAAAGTTCTAGAATTAAAAAACCTATTAAATAAAAAACAAACAAAAACCCAGTATTTATTTTTTGGGGGGTGGTAATTTCTTTTAAAAATTTTTATTTTTAAAAAACCCAGTACAGTATTTCTAAAACTTACTTGAACAAAAATCTTTTTTTCTTCTCTGTGGTGTTTATTTAAAAGCTAGAAGAGTAGTTAATATAGAGGACAGAGGTTTGGCTCAGCAGCACCAGCGCCTGCCTGGCAAGCTCAAGGTCCTGAGTTCAATCCCGTTACATCAAAAAAAAAAAAAAAGAAAGTGTAGTTAATATAGGGGGGAAGACTAGGTTAAAACATATACTACTCCGGTGACACACACTGTATCCCTGAGAGGTATTAAATTTGTTTTTTGCTAATTGATGTTAGTAAAACATCAACTGATATTAAACTCAGCCTAAAAATAGAGAAGATTGACTGTAAGAGGAACAGATACAAGAACATGGATACATGAGTGGGAGAATGTTAGGGTTTGGATCAAGAATGTCTCCCAATAGACTCATGTGTTCAAAGATGGGACTTCTGGAAGGTGACTGGATCATGGGGCACTATATTCACTGGTGGATTAATCCATTGATGAGTTCATAGCTGAATGTGCAGTTAAGAGATAGAACATGGCTGGAAGAGGTGGCTCACTGGGCACATAACCTGGAAGGGTATATTCTTATCCCTATTCCTGTCCTCTCTCTGGCTCTGTCTTAGTTACTTCTTCATTGCTGGAACAAAATACTTGACACTCAAGGCAGGGTGACATGGTAGAGAGACATCACAAAGGAGAAACAGTTCATGGCAGGGCAGGCAGAAAAAAAGCAGCAAGTGCCAAGTAGCAGCAGCAGCAAGCCTCCCTTTCCTTTTTATTCCATGGAGGCTACAAGCCTCTGGGTGTTACCACCCACACCCAGGGTGGGCCTTCCCATTATCCACACCCAGAACTATGATAAACTAATTAGTGGATTAATTCCGTATCACATATGGAATGTGAACAATAGTATCACACACATCCTTGATCCAGCTATATGTGAAGAGCCCCACCTATGAGCACATGAGGCTTTGGGGGAACATCTGGATACAAGTCATAACAGGCTCTTTCTTCCTTGCTCTCACTCTGCTTCCTGGCTGCCACGGATTGAACAGCTTTTCTATACTATGTTCTTTCACCATGCCATTTCTGCCTTGGAGCCAGGTGACCATGGTCTGTGCCCTCTGAAACTGTGAGCCAAAATAAACCTTTTCTTCTTTAAGTTGTATATGTCAGATCCTATCTGGTCCAAGAGAAGGAAAAGTGACTAATACAAGCCAAGATTCTCAATGTAGGTTAATGTATGTCAGAAATAAAAAGCTGTAAGACACAGCTGTGGCACATGCCTATAATCCTAGCACTTGGGAGGCTGAGGCAGGAGGACTGCCATGAGTTCAAGGACATCCTGGGCTACATAATGAGTTCAAGACCAGCCTGGACTACACAGTGAGACCCTGCCTCAAAAAAAAAAAAACAACAAAAAACCCAAAGCTGTACAGTAAGGCATATCTTGAAATTTTTATATATATATATATTTTTTGTACCAGGGATTGAACTCAGGACCTTGTGCTTGCAAGGCAGGTGGCGGAACCACTGAGCTAAATCCCTGGCCCTTGAAATTTCTATTTTAATGAATAGCAAGTAACTTAAAATAGTTTTGGGCTATATTCTCTCAGCGCTTCCGGGAACGTGGGGTTTATTTTCTGCTGCTGAAACACTTGGGAAGCATTGAATTAAAGGTTATGTTCTACCAAGTAAAGTGAACAAATTAAAAGATTTTTTTTTTGGTACCGGGGATTGAACTCAGGGCCTTGTGCTTGCAAGGCAGGCGAGGTGCCACTGAGCTAAATCTTCAGCCCTTAAAAGATTTTTTTAAAACAAAAAAGACAAAATCATTTAACTGAAACTTAAAGCAGTAATTCTACAATCAAATGTTCTTACTCAATATCTACTAGTAAATATTGAAGTTTCTGGGCCGGGGATTTAGCTCAGCGGTTTCACTGCCTGCTGCGCAAGCGCAAGGACCTGAGTTCAATCCCCAGTACCAAAGAAAAAAAAAAAAAAATTAAAGTTTCTATGAAATATATTCACCAAAAAAGACATATATCAAAGGAATAATGAGGTACTTTAAAATTGTTTGAAGTTTTGGGTTAAATTAAGTGCCCATAATAGGGATATACATTTTATTAAGCTAATTATATTCTGGTACTTTCATAAAAATAAGCCTCTTTTTTTGAGACAAGGTCTCACTACGTGGCCCAGTCTGGCCTCAACCCATGGTAATGCTTCTGCTCCAGTTCTGGGATTATAGGTGGGTTCCACCACACTCCCCAAGCCTCTTTCAAAGTAAAGGAAAGGAATACATTTATTTCCTGAAAATTTAATCTGATTTCACGTGGAGACAGCTTGGAATGTAGATAAGATATTTCTTTTTCCTTCTGCTGAGATTTTAAAATTACACATAAGAATTGAAATTTTGAATTAAAACATTTTACCCAAGATGTAGGCTTACCTGTATTCCAGCATGGCTACAAAGGTAAAAATCAAACTCATATGGGTGCGTAATGTCCGTATCAACTGTTGTTCCAGCTGGTATATTGCCACTTCTTCCAACCTAGATTTTTTTTGGTCAAAGTTTAAACAAGACAAAGGTTAAAAAAAAAGAAAAAGCATCTGAAAGCACTTTTAAAAATGTATAAATACGTAGGCTTATCATGTTTCATTACTTTCAGCTTGAAATATTAAGTCGCCAATAAGAGCAACTTTTACAGGTCCTTGTTCCTTTTTTTCTCCCTGTTTGCAGTGCTAAGACTTGAACCCAGGACCTCATGCATGCTAAGCCTATGTTGTATCACTGACTTTTATCCTCAGCCCCTAGGTTCCTGTTCCTATACTGCTGAAAGTAAGTGCTGATAAACCAGCATTATTAGCCTCTGCTACTGCTTAGCTCGTAGCTGATTCCAATATGAATGGAAGACAATAAAAAATATATTTTTTTTGAGATAAGGTCTTAGTATGTAGTTTAGGCTGGGTTTGAACTCTTTTTTTTGGTACAGGGGATCCAACTCGCGTCCTTGTGCTTGGTCCTTGTGCTTTCGCGTCCTTGTGCTTCTGCAGCAGCGGCAGAACCACTGAGCTAAATCCCTGGCCCCATGGCCTTGAACTCTTTATGGAGTTCAATCTGGCCTCAAACTTGTGGCATCCTCCTGTCTCAGCCACCCACAGTGCTGGGATCATAGGTGTGCGGCACCACACCCAGCATTAAATTTTTTTAAAAAATTAACTGTAAGTGCTCCAATTTATGGTACCTGTACATAGTAGGTACTCTTGAAATTATAACCTATGAAAATTAACATTTTCCTTAGAGAACACTATATATTTAGAGATATCAACAATAGTTACCATTTGAGAACCATTTTATTACTCAGGCACTTTAAATTCAGTATTTTTAAATCCTGATAATCCTTCAAGTTAGGTGTTATCATTTAGGGTGACTAAGGTTTAGGAATGCAAAATTTGCTCAAAAACACACAATAAAACTAGCATTAAAATGAGAAATGACTGGGCTGGGGATTTAGTTCAGTGGCACTGTGCCTGCCTTGCAAGCGCAAGGTCCTGAGTTCCATCCCTGGTACAGGAAAAAAAAAAAAAGACTAACAGTTTCAGTGTCCTGTGAGAAACTAGACACCATGATTTTCTCTGAGTAGCTATGACATGACTGAAATACCTTATAATGAAAAGCTCTTAATAAAACACTTTAAAATGCGTATTATACTAATCTCCATGCTATTTATCACCAATACATCTAAAATCATTAACTGTAAGTCTAACTTTACCCCTAGAAAATCAGAAACTATTTTACTGACTCAGGCATTATTTCTGCCATGTAAGGGACTGCTATCAGGGAGCAGCTTGAATTACTGTTTTTTGTTTTGTTTTTTGGACCGGGGATTGAACTCGGGTCCTTGCGCTTGTGAGGCAGTTGGCAGAACCACTGAGCTAAATCCCTGGCCCCTTGAATTACTGTTATATGGACCAACCAGTTAGCCTTTATAATGTAAAGAAAATAGTTCCTAATCTACTTAATTATGCCCTTTCTTTCCAGTACTGGGGATTCAATATAAGGTCTCTGCACTGAGCTGTATCACCAGCCCTTTGTATTTCTTATTTTGAGATAGGGCCTTGTTAAATTGCTAAGCTGCCCGGGCTGGGTTTAAATTTTTATCCTGCCTCTGCCTCCCAAAATGCTAAGATTATAGATGTGCACCATCATGCTCAGCTTTCCTAGGCTTAAAAAACATTTACCTCTAATAAATTAGCAACATATATAAAAAGGTATATTCTAAAATGCCTGAATCTGTATCACTGCTCCAGCAATTTCTAATTGTATGATTTAGGTAATTGTATTTTACTTCTTTGTATCCCTGTTTCCTCAACAGTAATTATCTCCCATCTATCTATCTACCTGCCCGTCTTATTATTATTATTTTCAGTACTGAGATTGAATACAAAGTCTTTGCACTAAATTATATTTCCAGTTCTTTTAAAATTTTGAACAGGGTCTTCATAAGTCATTAAGTTTCGCAGTGTTCAAACTTGATTCTTCTACTCAAGCTTCTCAGAGTGCTGGGATCACAGGTGTGCACCACCAAGCCTGGCTAATTTTAGTATTATTTAGAGCGAAGGTGAAACAAAAAGCAAATAAATGAATGAGTATTCATAATCTAATTTAGGTCACAGATATGGAATTAGGTTATTAGATACAGAAATGCAATTTGGGATCAAAGACCTTTAAAAAGATGAAGGCCATAATAAAATGATTACTACTGCTATTAGAGAAGTGATATAACACAATGATTAAGAGCACTCTGGAGCCAGATTGTCTCGATTTGAGTGCTATTACTACGATTACCAGCTTCGTAATTTTAGGAAGTTATTTAATCTCTAGGTGCCACAGTTTCATCATGTGCAAAATGGGAATAGTGAAAACAATAATAAGTGTCTAACAGTGCTTGTGAGGATTAAATCAGTTAAATTTATTAAAAACGCTTAGGCTGGAGATAGGGCTCAGTGGTAGAGTGCTGGGCCAGCATATGCAAGGCCCAGGGTTTAATCCCCGGCACCGGGGGAAATAAAAAGTTCAGAACAATGTTTATTTGCTATTATTATTTCTTCCCTATTATCACGACCATTACCACCACCTTACAACTCCCTAATTTCTACTGTGCACTCAGTAGAGTGCACCACACACTGTTCTAAATGTATCACATTTTTAACTCTCTATTTTTAAGATAAATGTTAATATTATACACCTTTGTTGAGAAGGAAACAAGCACAAAGATGATAATGTGCTTGTCAATAGTAAGTACATATTATACATACCCAAGACTTCCTTTTCTTGTGTGTGTGGTATTAGGGATTGAATCAAAGGCCTTTGGATTGAGCTACAACTCCAAACATTTTATATTCTGAGATAGGGTCTTTCTAAATTGCCCAGGCTGGGCTGGAAATTGTCAAAATTGTGATCCTTCTCCCTCAGCCTCCCAGGATGCTGGGATTATAGGGGTATTCTTTTCCACTGAATTCCTTTCCCTGGGGTATAATGACACTTCCTACCTCAGATATCTCTTGGTCCAAGGTTTACAGGATGGGGATAGAGATCAAGGTATTGGAAGTGACAGCAAGACTGCTACTGGCATACACTGCACACAGTAAAGATGCATTTCTCTAGGCATGTACACTTCCCTTTCTAATTATAAAAATACATATTTGCACTATAAAATACAAAAAAAATTCTATTAATTTTAAAGGAAACACTGTTTGAAAGTTAGCTTATATTACCTCTACTTTAAAAAAAACCTAATTTTTACAAGATATTTTAAAAAGAAGCAGGCAGGGACATAGTTTAGTGGCACAGAACTAGCATATATGAGGCCTTGGATTTGATCCCTAGCACCACAAAAAAAAAAAAAAAGAAAATGTACCTTTTTACCTACACATTTAAGATAGATATTTATATAAAGACCCATTTTTAAATTATGAGTTTCTCACAACAAATAGAAAATGAAATGGTATTCTGAAATTTGGAGCATTACCAAAAATTTTAGAAAGTTAAGCAATAATACCTATTTTGATTTTTTTTTTTTTTTTTTTGTACTGGGGATTGAACTCGGGTCCTTGTGCTTGTGCAGCAGGTGGCGAAACTACTGAGCTAAATCCCTGGCGCACCCCCCCCCCTTTTTTTAAAAGATAGGGTCTACTTTTTTTTTTTTTTAATAGGGTCTCACTGTGTATTCCAGGCTGGTCCTGAACTCACTGTGTAGCCCAAGCTGGCCTTAAAACCACAGTGATCTTGCCTCAGCCTTCCAAATGCAAGGATTACAGATGTGCACTATAATGCCCGGTCTATTCTGATACTTTTATACTTATAATGTACTCACTGAAATCTACTACTGTACTTTAGAGACCCTGGTGTTGGCAGAAGGCCCTTGGGAAGTGGTCTATGAACTATGTTGGATAAGCTTAACTTATAACAGTAGTATAACAGATATAAGATTACCCTTTCTGTTCTATCAGCACAAAATAATCGAGTGTGATGCCTCTTCTGAACCACAATGTAGGTTATTCCAGGTTGATAGTCTTTCTCCAAACTGATGCAGGCTTCTCGAATTGCTAGCAGTTCATAATATAATACCTAGAGAAGATGCAATGCAAAGATTTAATTTAGTGAGCTATTCTCTTCTACATAATTACCTAAGATAATGATTTAGTTTTAGGATTTCTTTTTTTTTGGTACCAGGGATTGGACTCGGGACCTTGTGCTAGTGAAGCAGATGGCGGAACCACTGAGCTAAATCCCCAGCCCAGTTTTAGGATTTCTTAATCTCATCACTTTATACCTAAATATACTTCTTTATTCCATTTAAACTATTAGCAAGAGCAATCAATGTTTACACATTTATAGTGAAAAAGTTTTTTTTGTGGCACTGGAGCTTCCACCCTCCCCTCCCTTTTTGTTTTTTCTTTTGAGACAAGGTTTTGTTATGTAGTTCAGACTGGCTTTGAACTCACTATGTAGCCCAGGTAGGCCTCAAACTCATGGTGATCCTCCTGCTTCTGACTCCCAAGTGCTGGGATTAGAGGTGTGCGCCACCACTCCCAGCCTCCAGTCCTTTTTGTCTTTTATCTTGAGACAGAGTTTTGTTAAATTGCCCAGGTTGGGCTTGCACCTGCAATCTTCCTGCCTCTTCTTCCCAGTGTTGGATTACAAGTATGTGCCACTACTCACAGCCCATAGTGAAAATTTTAAAAGATAAAACCTACTAAAGCATCAAATTTTGACTTTAGGAACTCTCAAGGCTTTCAACTTGAAATGACATTTTATATTATAAGCGAAGTTTCTGATTTAACCATCGTCTGAGAAGATCTCAAGCAACCAACCTGTCTGAACTGTCCCTCTGAAACACCGTCCCGATAAAAGATGATACGAGTAGGTTTGAACCGAGTTGACTTATAAAATTGAATGAGAAGTTCCCGGACCATGGAGGCCAAGTCCTGTATGATCTCTTGTCGAGGTCTCTGAACTCTGACTGTGGCACAGTATCTGCTTGGGTGAGCATCCATACTACCTACAACCTAGGTTAGAAAAAATAAAAATAGAATTAAGATAATCAGAACTATATGGATTTCACTTACATTTGTATTTTATTGTAACCATACTATTTATCAACATTTACTTTGAACATAATAAAAAATAGATAATCCCCAGTGAAGAAAAGAATAAGATCCAGTATAGCAACAAAACCTATTTTCTTATAAGTAGGCTGCACTTTACATTTAACAATTAAATTTTTTTTAACAATTAGATTTTAATTGTTATTGGCAGACCTAAAGATTAGTCCTAGAAAAAAACAAGGCAAAAAGACATGCATAAAAAGAATTAAAGGAAATAAGTTTGAAAAGGGATTGATTCAAAATACTGATTTCCTTTCATATCTCTTGCACTTTAACAACCCTTAAGAATTCATCATGATTTCAGCACTGTTACGTTTCATAAATTTTAAACCCAAGCGTTTCTCTCTTACTACAAAGGCCTATCTATACTCAACATCCTGACTCTATATTCAGTCTTATTGCGTGATGGTTGTGTTCTCTACTTGGGTCTTCAGAGAAGTTAATCTTGGTTTTCAAACTGGCTATTTTAATTTTGTTTTTGTGTCTTATTTAATATTATTACATGTTTGACGCAAAGGAAACCTCAAAGCATGAACTTGTAACATTCTGGTCACTGCCTCAGCTGGTCACTCTGCCTTTATACCCTTTTTCTTCCATGATAGTCTGTATCACAGCCATGCTTTAAAATAGAACTTCAATCATTTTATTTCCTTGAATGATATATCATTATTAAAGAATAAATTTATACAAACTTACTATCCCCACAGTCTTCTATACTGCATCCCAATTCCCTGAATGTCTCAACATTTCTAAAACATCACAGGTTCTTACAATCTAAATTGTAAGTTATCTTGCTATAATGTTTGTTCCTATTATACTATGTGACATTTAATACTTACATCTGTTTCTCACACCAGTCTCTTAAGTTCTTGGGAATTGAAGCCATAGAATAAAGAATCAATTGATAAATTCTATTTATAAGGCTTCTGATAACCACAAAATAAAGTGGATATTTGGTAGAAACAGATTTAACAGAAAAATTACTATTGTAGGTCCTACCATTATAGAATATATGTAAAACTTAGCAAATCCAGGGCAATTTCTTTTGATTCAAACCAGTGATTTGAATTTACCATTTTCATCTTTTCTAGGAACATTTTTATGACTATCAGAGATAGCTTAAAACTCTCTAGAACATTTCTATGTCTAAAATTTCTATTTTATTTGAAATAAGTCATGGACAAGATTAAAATACAAATTGAGCCTGGGATTTAGCTCAGTGGTTTCACTGCCTGCTGTGTAAGCACAAGGATCAGAGTTTGATCCCTGGCACCAAAAAAAACCAAAACCAAAAACAAACTGATACAATTTATTAGTAGTTAAAAACAAATTTTCTTCACTAATAAAAATAGCTTTGCCTGGGCTGGGGATTTAGCTCAGTGGTTCTGGCACCTGCTTCACAAGCACAAGGTCCCTAGTTCAATCCCCGGTACCAAAAAAAAGAAAGAAAAAGAAAAGAAAAATAGCTTTGCCTGGGCATAATCTCAGTACTATGGGAGGCTGAGGCAGGAGGAATTGAAAGTTTGAGCTTAGCCTGGGCAGCTTAATGACTCTGCAAGACCCTGTCTCAAAAACAAAAACCAAAAAACTAGGGATGTAGCTCAATCCCAATTCCTAGTGATATTAAAAAAAAAAGCTTTGAGATCTTTAATATCAATTACCATTTTCAATGACAAATAAGATTTATCAGACTTTTAAAATTTAAAATGTAGGTAAAGAAAATAAGAACCAAGATAAATCATGTAAATGTACACGATCCCAATGATGAGTGTAACTGTATTTTATACCTAAAATGTACCAATAAACTTAATGAAAAAAAAAAAAGTAGGTAAAGATTATTATAATAGATGATAGAAAAATATACACAAAGTTTTACAATTTAAATTCTGAAGTTTATCATGTATGTCTAAAATATGCTGATCTTTTCAAAATGGTTGCATTATTATTATTTTTTTTTGCGGTACCAGGGATGATCAAACTCAGGACCTTGTGCAAGGCAGGTGCAGTACCACGGAGCTAAACCTCCGGTTCTGCTTTTGTTAAAATCAAGTGATTTTCAATATGGTAAAACAATATTGGGCTTTTTGAAGGTTAAAGGAAATACATTAATACTGACAAGGAAGGGCTGAAATTGTAGAGGTGGGCAAAGATATAACAGGCAAAAGTTAAAAGCAGGAGTGGCAGTGTTACAATAAACAATACTGGGACAAACTATTGGGTTAAGGTGGAAGATATTTTATATTAAAAATGTAATCTATCGAAGTTATACAAGATATACATGTAATGTATCTTTCTGTAACAAAGATAACATTAAAATGTATAAATAAGCTCTTTGTACTCAAAAACGTAACTGAAAATGTACAATCATAAATCACAGATCAAGTAAAAACATATGATATAGGAGATTTGAATTAATAAGCTTGCTTTTAATAGATATATATGGAACATGAATCCTCAAAACCAGAATGACTATTCTTTCAAAAATCCTAAAGAACATTTATGAAAGGTGATTACTAAAAAAATTAAAATTAAAAAAGTTGAAACCAAAATGTTGATATTGGTCTACGGGCCAGGGATTTAGCTCAGTGGTTTCATCGCCTGCTGCGCAAGCGCAAGGACCAGAGTTAGATCCCCTGGTACCAAAAAAAAAAAAATGTTGATATTGGTCTAAACTTTAGATAAAACTGCTTAATGACACTCACAGCAGCGATAGAAGGCTTCTTTCCATCACCAGCAGGAGGATGAGTGACATCTGCTCCCAAAAATATCACTGGTTGCTGGAACACAGAAGGTCTTAAACACATGTTAAAAAGGGTTAGATCATCCATTTCTTTGTTTCACACGAATGCAACACAACTGCAAGTCACTGACCGCACAAAGGAAGTCCTATGTAGACAGCTTCCCAGGCCTGTACTACTCACTGTTTTATCCTCTTAAATCAGTCAGTAAATAAAAGCTGTCACAACAGGTCTGTCCAGTGCCTTGCTGAGAGCAGTTTTTTAGTCTTAATAGTGGTGCTAGTGGTTGCAAAGGCCAACTGACGCTAGCGTTCCCTATAATAGGAACAAAATGATAAAAACTTCCTTATATTCCTCCACTTTATGTGTATGGTGCTAGGGACTGAACCCAGGGCTTCATGCATGCTACTCAAGTGTTCCACACTTGAACTATACCCACAGCCCCAGCCTATTTTTTAAAATCTACTTACATTTTATGCTGATGTAATTTCCCACAGAGAAAAAAGATCATTAAGCTTTATATTGGAAGGGATTGTGGGAGTCTACTGTTCTCCTCCTAGCCAAAAGTATAAATTTCAGCCATATATATTAAAGTAGCTCCTTTTTATTTTAAAATTACATCCTTTAAAATTTAAAGGGCTATTTCTTAGTTCTTGTTGATAAAATTCTATATCCATCTTATTTATTAATTTCATGTCATATATATGTGTGTGTGTGTGTGTGTGTGTGTGACAGGGAGCTAGAAGGTGGCATAAACTGAGTAAGAGCTTTTATGTCAAATACATGTACCTCAATTCTTGTTTTAAGGCTTATCTGTGGTATGTTCTAGTCAAGATACTTTTTTGGGGGCTGTACTGGGGACTGAACTCAGGAAGTGCTGAGTATAGCCCCAGCCCTCTTCCTCCTTCCAGTAGCAGGGATTGAATCCAGCACCTTGCTCTGAGCTACATCCCTAGCCCTGGTTTTAACTTTTTACTTTTGAGACAGGGTCTTGCTAAATTGCTAGTTGCTCAGGCTGGGTTTGAACTTGTGATCCTCCTGCTTTAGTTTCCCAAAGTGCTGGGATTACAGGCATATGCCACTACACTGGCTATACCTACCCTTTAAAAATTTTTTTTGCTGGGCATGGTAGCACATGACTGTAATCCAGCACTCATGAGGCTGGGGCAGGAAAGTTGCCTTGAGTTCTCCTGCCTCGGCTTCCCGTGTACCACCACACCCAGCACTAAAACAGGTCATACAGTAGTTAGATACAGACACAGGTACAAAAATGAAGATATTAAAAATACAGTAATGACTATTTTCATAAGTGAATAGCTTACCTTTGATGAGGTACAAGAATATTATTGATCCCTCCAAGTTTAACATTTATCTTTAGGCACAAGTTTGAGAGAGTTTGAGGAGATGTTTTTATTACATTCTTGACTTGAACACACTGGGTAGCCATACCCAAAAGTGTATCTCCTACACGTTTTACCTCTGCTAAAGAACAAATGCAAATACCTCTAGTCAGAAAAAAGAGCTGAAAATAAATTTACTTTCTAAAAATAAAGGTCTTCTGTATGACCCTTGAAACACATCATTGTATTACAGGACACCCAAAATTATACCAGTACTAAAGTAATGCTACTGAAATTTAAAGTACAAGGCTTTGAAAATTAGCTTAAGTATTTAGTGATAATTTTTTTAACCTTCATCATCATAAAAATAGTATAATCACAATAACTGAAAAACCATAAAGGTAAATATATATATAATCCTTTGTTATAATTTTATTGTGCTCTTTTTCCAGTAATTTTCTTATTTATTTGGCACTGGAGATTGAACCCAGGGCTTCACGCATGCTAGCCTAGCATTCTAGCACTGAGCTATGCTATGAGAAAGGATCTTGTGAAGTTGCCCAGGTTTATACCAGTGTGCCCAGCTCATTTATGTTATTTTAATGCACTTATACCATAGTCACAGATTATAATTACTTTCAATCCTGTTCTCCAGTCTTGATTTTAACAATGGAGAGACAGCTTTGCATGATGGCCCACACCTTAATACCAGAACTCTGGAAGGCTGAAAGAGGAGGATCACAAGTTTAAGCCCAGCTTGGGCAACTTAGTGAGTCCCTGTCTCAAAATAAAAAATAAAAAAAGACTGAAGATACAACTCAGTGTGAAGGCCCTGGATTCAATCCGCAATACTGAAAAAATAAATAAAAGTAGCAGAGGCATTATGGTGTATTATTATGTAAATAATAAAAGGCTCCTATTCTTTTCTTCTTCCATAAAGGAAATCTAAGTAACTCTTTGCTGTAAAGATTCCAGCATACATAACTTCTTTTATATAAAAACACAATGGAAAACACTTTATATGGTTCTCAATCTCAATATATATACAGTTACTATTTATAACAGCAGCAGTTATTTTGCTTTCAAGTGCCACAATATATCTAAATCAGTTATACACTGACATATGTTTAGGTTGTTCCAGATTTTTAGTATTTCAAATGATGCTATGAATACCAGGCATTATAATATTTACATTTATTTGCTAATTTAGTAGCATGATATGTTTCTTTTTATTGATTTGTAATTTGCTTTAACAACTGGACAAAGCAGACATTTTTCCATGTATTATTTTGATTTTCTTGAGAAACTTTGGTTTATATTCTTTTCTCATTATTTTGAGTGGAATATTTTTCCTTAGTTGAACCAGTCTATATGAATATTTTAACTAGTGTTTATTGTTTCCATTTGTTGTAAATATTTTCACATTCTATTAGTTTTAATTTTAGTACATTTGTGACACAAAAATTTAATTTTTTTCCCCCCATACCAGGGAACAAACTCAAGACCCTTGCGCTTGGCAGGTGTGGTGCCACTGAGCTAAATCCCCAGTCCAAAAATTTAGTTTTTATGCAGTCAAATTAATGATTTTCCTTTGTGATTTCTTCTATCATTTCTAAAATTAAATGCTTTTACTCCAGTAATTTGAAAGTTAGATTTTCTTCATTTTTTTTCATGATCCAATGATTGTTATTTAATTTATTAATCTCACAAAACTTTATAGTGGTATCTCGGATCAGTAACTCAATTCTCTCCATGATTCTGGTCGCAAACCGAACTGAATGAGAACTGAATCAAATTTCCCCTTAAGGTCAACATTGAATCTAACCACTGAACTTGATTCGGTTCTTGTCTCAGTTTGCAACCAGAATCGTGGAAGAATCAAGTTTGTGAACTGAGGAACCACTGTATTTTGTTTATAATCATTTATAAGGGTTAGGCATTCCAGTTTCATAAGTGATGAAACAAAAGCTTAGTATGGTTAAGTAATTCAGGTACATGACGCTGACAGTACAACTGGCAATAATCCAAAGATTTCACAGCATAGTCTAACTCCAGAGCCTTCTTTTGCCAGGGATGTGGCTCAGTGGTGCTGCCGTCTGCCTTGCAAGTCCAAGGTCCTGAGTTCAATTCCCAGTACCAAAAAAAAAAAAATTGAAATAATTCCTTGGCTGGGGATTTAGCTCAGTGGTTTTGCTGCCTGCCTCGCAAGCGCAAGGTCCCAAGTTCGATCCCTGGTACCAAAAAAAAAAAAAAAAACCGAACAAACCATATACCCAGAGCCTTTTTTTTTGAGAAGTTCTATGTTGCAGAGCCTGGTCTCAAACTCATGAATTCAAGTGATTCTCTTCCCTTGGTCTTCCAAGTGTCTAGGACTACTGATATTTGTCACCATGTCCATTTTAGCTACTGAAATTTTTTTTCAGGGTCTCTTTATGAACTGTTTACTAGTTTAAAATGATGAAAACGTGGTTTTAAAAAAATATAGTATAATATTTTTTGGTATTTGAAAGTTTTAGGACATAGAATCTTAAAACAAGTATCAAACACTTTTGGAAAAATGGGAGTTTTCTGGTATGTTTTTTGTGGTACTGGAGATTTAAGCCAGCCCTTATGAATACTGGGCAAGGACTCTACTACTGATGTGCCCTCCCGCTCCAACACTGAAAAATGTAGTTTTAAGATATCCTTACCATATACTGGCGTTTTCCCTGGCAGGATGACAATAATGAGCTGTAGCCCAGAATATGTATTCTTGAGATGCCGGAACATGGGTTCTACGCTATCTGCCCCCTGGGCATATTTGCAGAAACACGGCTGGCCCTGGATTGGCATCCCGGCATCCTTGGAAATCTTACGCAGCTGGTCTGTGAAACCCCTAGAAGGATAAATCTTTAGATATAAAAGCTTTATCTAGTCCTCAGGATGTAGCTCAGTTCTAGAGGGCTTGCTTAGCATGCATGAGACAATGGGTTTAATTCCTAGTTACTTCCAAAACAAAACAAAAAAAGCCAAACCCAAATCTTTATACAATCATCAATACAAAATAGTAAAGGAAAGGAATGAAGCATGAAACAAAAATCTATGTGCCATATATAAGTAGTTATCAGGTGACTGACACTAAGGACAATGTAGCCGACTAATCTGGAACGGCCCTTCTTTACTCTTGGAGGAATATATTTCAAGACCACTAAATGCCTGAAACCATTGGTAGTAATGAACCCTAGAATTGGATGCCTTTTCAGCAAAACTAGCACAACTACTTTTTTCTTCACAATTTCATAGCTAAAAAAGTCATTCTTGGGCCGGGGATTTAGCTCAGTGGTTCCGCCACCTGCCTCACAAGCACAAGGTCCCAAGTTCAATCCCTGGTACCAAAAAAAAAGAAGTTAGACTAAAAAAGTCATTCTTACAGTAGATCTTAGTAAACTTAAATAATTTTTTCTTTTGTTGAGAGTATCTACCTTTTAAATTAAAGGAAGTGCAATAAGGGTTCTTCTCTTTGGCATATTCAAATTGCCAACATAATTGGATGCATCATTAAGTGTAACAAGGCTTATTTCAGAGAGTGGTTTCCGTAGTGTAGTGGTTACCACATTTGCCTCACAAGGATTATTTGAACATAAGCACTACAATACCTTGACAGTTGATCTGCTAAGATAGATAGCTACTAAGATACTGCTAGGTGGGTATCACAAAGGACATGGGCACAATGGACAAGGGCATGATTCAAACCTCAGGCAGGTAGTAACTGGGGGGTGTAGAACAGTGCAAATTTTATCACACTATGCAGAATGCCAGATGATTTAAAACTTAGAAGTTGAATTATTTCTGGAATTTCCTATCTAACGTTTTTGAACTGCATTTCACCATTGGTTACTGAAATACGGAAAGGAAAACCATAAACGAGGGGGGGCACTAGTGTATTTTGAAAACTAAAACATACAATTATATAATATTTTGTTTTTATAAGGGGCATTAGGAATAGAGTATGCTGGTTAAGAGCTCAGCTCTAGAGTCAGCACGGAGAGTTTCAATCCCAGTTGTGCTTTCTAGCTATGAAATTTTATTTTTCAATTTTCTTGAGATAGGGTCATGATACATAGTTTAGGCTGGCTTTGAACTCTGATCCTCTGCCTCCAAAGTGCTGAGATTACAGGTATGTGTCACCGTATCTGAAATCTTAGGCAAGTATCTCCCCTCATTTATAAAATGATTGCTACCAATATAGGGTTGGTGTGAGGACTAAACAGTATATGAAAAGCATTTTTAGCACATTGCCTATGACCATGGTAAGAGCTTAATACGTTTTAGTTATTGTGTATTTTCTAATTTGATCCTGGCAAGATTCACATGAGAAAGGCAGGTCAGGTATTACTTTCATTTTATAAATCAGAAAAGTTTCAGGGACATTAAATATTAGTAAAGATTGAATGGTTAGATAAATGGTAGAGCCATAGCTAAGACCTACTGTAGAATTTCTACAGTATTACCTATCTTAGACTAGGATAGCTGGAAAGATTATTCCTCAAGAAGAGATAAAAAATTCGAAAACAAAATTTAGAAACAAATAAGGAAGGTATCATTTTAATGTATTTTTCTTTGCACTGATAAAAAATAAAAACTCATTTCATATTTAAAGAAATTTCTGTATTTTGCATAAACCAGTAATGATGGAGGGCTGAATAATCATTTCACTTACTCGAAAGCAAGTAAGGTCCTAAAAGTCAAGGAACTGAGTGATCACTGCTCAAAACTGATTCCCTCAGGACAGGTACAAATTTGTAGACATTCCCTTCTCTTTTTCCTTATTAGTATTTAGTTCAAGAAGTATAAAGTTGAATATCTTCAGTCAGCCTGAATAAAAGCCATAGGCCCAATGATACTGAGCTATGTGTTCACACCGTGAATAAATGTAAACTGAAGGAATAACTCTAAGCTTAAAAAACAATTAGGGCCTTTCAAGGTCAAATAAGATAACCATACCATTAAGCCATCCTTATGACCTTTTATTTGAAAGCAGGGGGATAAAAACTTTTGAACAAAATATAATAAAATGGGGGCCAGGAATTGAGCTCAGTGGTTTCGCTGCCTGCTGTGCAAGCACAAGGACCCGAGTTCAATCCCCGGTACCAAAAAAAAAAGAAAAGACCACAGACAGTCATTTATTACTTTTTTATTTTTAATATTTTTGGTACTAGGGATTGAACCCAGGGATGCTCTACCACTGAGCTACATCCCCAGCCCTTTTTATTTTTTATTTAGAGACAGAGTCTTGGTAAGTTGAACAGGTAGGATGTGAACTTGTGGCCTTCCTGTCTCAGCCTCCCTTAGTGTATGTGCCATCGTGACTAGCTAAGACATTCATTTAGAGATTTGATAGTAATTTTAAAAAAGAGTAAATGGAGTTAAACAGAACAAATATTTTTCACATGAAGGCAGCAAGGCAAATTCTGAATGGAACTGAGGTAAACTGATCTCCATATTATTCAATAACTTTCCCTAATGTATATACTTATATGAGCTATTAATAAAGAAGTAAATAAGAAAATTTCTTAAGAAAATTAGCTAGAGGGGCCGGGGATTTAGCTCAGTGGTTCCACTGCCTGTCTCGCAAGTGCAAGGACACAAGTTTAATGCCTGGTACCAAAAAAAAAAAGAAAAAGAAAATTAGCTAGAGAGGTGATATTATTATTTTGTTTCTTTGAGATTTACAGTATTGCTATGTAGTTCAGGCTGGTCTTGAGATTGCAATTCTCCTGCTTCAGCCTCCTGAGTGGTGGGATTATAGGTATGTGGCACCATGCCTGGCTTAGTACCACTACATTTTGTGCATAAAATGACAAGCACAAATAGACTACTGATAGACTGATAAAGGGAAAAGGCATTCTCAAAAAGAGCTATTGGAGTGGAAATAGGGAAACAGGCCAGAGAAATAGAAGAAATATAGTGCTTTAATTTCTTTATCCAGAATATATGAAAATGGACTCCAGGGAAGTAAGAGACAAGTGAAAGATACTGAATGTCACTGATTTTGAGTTTCATTCTTTGTCAGAGATGCCTACAGTAAAGATAGTCACAAGCAGAGCTGGTATTCTTTCACAACAGCACAACTCTACAAACAAGTGTGACAGCAAAAGCCCTTGAGATTGTGAGGGAGTCTCAAAGGGGAGGAAACAGATTAAGAAGAAGAAAAGAAGCCAAAAAAATAAGATAAAAAGGGACTAGAAGCCAAGAGAGGAAAGAACATCAAGAAGGTAGTCAATTATATTTACTGCAGTGTATATTATGAGAAAATGAATGGGTAAGATGAGACTATTGACTATCATTAGAATTTTAAGTGTAAAGAGGCAGAAGATCTTCCAGGAATTAGTGTTGGCAGATCTCTAAGCTTTCAAGGGAGGAGAGCAGGGGAAATCTGCAAGCCTGAGGGATTGGTAAAATGAAAATTGCAGCTAGGTACAGAGGCACATGCTTGTGGTCTCAGCTACTGGAAAGGCTGAAGCAAGATGATTGTTTCAAAGCCAGAATACTACAAGTGTATGTGTCTGTCTGTCTGTTCGTTGCTCTGTTATTGTGAGACAAATTTCACCGTATAGTCCAGGCTGGCACTGAACTCTCGATCTTCCTGTCTCAGCCTCCTGAGCTCTGGTATTAAATGTATGTGTAACCATACCTGGCTCAAGACTCCATATCTTTAAAAAAACAAACAAACATACCCCAAAAAACAAAACTAAAACTGCAGATTTTATTCTTTTTTGAGGGGAGGTGATGGTGGGCAGTCTTGCTGTGTTGCCTAGCCTGGCCTCTAACTCCTGGGGTCAAGAGATTTTTTTTTTTTTTTTTTTTTGGTACCGGGGATCGAACTTGGGACCTTGCACTTGCAAAGCAGGCACTGGAACCACTGTGCTAAATCCCCAGCCCTCAAGAGATTATCTTGCCTCAGCTTCCCAAGTAGTTGGGACAACAGGTACTTGACAAAAACTGCAGATTTTTTTTTTTTTTTTTTTGGTGGTAGTGGGGATTGAACCCAAGTCCTTTGTAGTGAGCGACAACCCTGGCCCCTTTCATTTTATAGTTTTGCTAAATTGCCCAGCTGCGCCTGAATTTATATCCTACCCCAGCCTTCCAGAGCGCTGGGACTATGAATCACCATGCCCAATTAAAAACATACTTGTTTGAACAGAAGACTGTTGAGCATTTATAAGTTAGAGGAAAGAATCTGAGGAAAGGCCGGGGGTTTAGCTCAGTGGTTCTGGTGCCTGCCTCGCCAAGCACAAGGTCCCGAGTTTGATCCCTGGTACCAAAAAAAATCTTAAAAAAAAAAAAAAGAATCTGAGGAAGAGGAGAACATGATAGAGATGAAGGCCATACTTTGGAAAGTAAGGAAGCAGAAATGAGGAATTTAATCATTCAAGAACCTCAACAGAAAAACAGGGACCTCTGAGGTAAGTAGGTACTATTATCTCTATTTTACAAAGGTAAAATCTGAAGAATAATAAGATTAAATAAATTATCCATGGTAATAAAGCCCAGAAATGGCAAAGGTTGGAATTAAAAGGGGCTGGGGATTTAGCTCAGTGATTTCGTTGCCTGCTGCGCAAGCGCAAGGACCCAAGTTCGATCGCCGCCCCCTCCCTTGCAAAAAAAAAGATTGGAATTAAACCTACCTATTGGCCATCAAAAGACCGTGCTGCTAGCTGGGTGTGGTGATGCATGTCTGTAGTCTCAGCACTCTGGAGGCTGAGGTGAGAAGATCACTGTGAGTTCAAGGCCAGCCTGGGCTACACAGTGAGTCCAAAGCTGGCCTGAACTACATAGTGAGACCCTGTCTCAAAACAATAACAACAACAACAAAAGACAATGTTGCTACTCTTACACCACATAAACTCCTTTACTGGGACATCTAGAACATGAATCACTGACTTTACTAAGATTAATGAATTCAAGGGCTAGGGATTTAAAATAGCTCAGTGGTTCCTCCGCCTGCCTCACAAGCGCAAGGTCCCAAGTTCAATTTCCAGTACCAAACAAAAAAACCCACCAAAAACCTAAGACTAATGAATTCAGAAATTTTCATCAAACTATCAGATGAAATATTTTTAAAGTTCAGTGGTTTGGGGCAGGGATTTAGCTTAGTTGTTCTGGCGCCTGCCTTGCAAGCACAGGGTCCCAAGTTTGATTGCCGGTACCAAAAAAAAAAAAGTTCAGTGGTTAAACATATTCCATTTTTTTTTTTGGTACTGGGGATTGAACTCAGGTCCTTGAGCTTGCGCAGCAGGTGGCGAAACCACTGAGCTAAATCCCTGGCCCTAAACATATTCCATGTTGAGGTAATGTTTTTGGAACATGAGATGAGTAATTTAAAAACTAAGCACAATCTGTAATCCCAGCACTTGGGAGGCTGAGGCAAGAGAACCACCAGGAGTTTGAGGCCAGCCTGGGCTACATAGTGAGTTCAAGGCCAGCTTGAGCTATACAGAGAGACCCTGTCTCAAAAACAAAAACAAATCAACAAAAACAACCCCCCCCCAAACTAGAAAACAAAACAAAAAACTAAAAACAAATACCCTTCCCCCAAAAAAACCTAGGCACAAAAAGGTCTCCAAACCAAAATAACAACATGCCTTACTTTAATATTTCTTCTCTGCACTGCCTCTGTGTGGCAAAACAAGCTATGGCCCACATTTTGATTTCAACTCCTGTGTGGAACTGTTTTCCACGCATGTCCCATACTCCATGGCTTGGTGTTGCTACTGTCCGGTTCTATGGAAGAAGAGAAATAACACGGCAAAGAAATAATAAAAACTTAGCAATATATCTCAATGAGCTGAAAATAAGCATTTTGAGTTCCCAGAATTGATATATTTCTGATAGTCTACACAGAACTGGCTGTTTTAAGCCAATATCATTTACACTTTTTTTTTTCTTTTTTGAGTTTTTGAGACATGGTCTTGCTCTGTAGTTCAGACTGCCTTGAACTCACTAGGTAATCCAGGCTGGCCTTGAGCCTGTCTCAGGCTCCCAAGCGCTGAGACTACAAGCATGGGCTACCATGCTCTGCTAAAAATTCCGAACTCAAGCAAAGACACTCATCTTGAAATAGGAAACTACATTGTTGGATCAATAAAATACTTTCTAAATTCCAGACTTAGCTAGGATATCCTTCTTTCTATTCTCTCAAACTACATGTATATGATTAAAACATTATCAAGAGGCTTTACCCGTCCTCCATACTGGAGCATAGGTGCTGGAAGTACACGTCCGGTTACATGTGCCATTTCATCCCGAACTTTAAATTGAAACTCCTGAACAAATGGATCTGTTTCATAATTTGCACTTCTTACCTAATAACAAGAAAGTCTGCAGTTACTCTCAAAATTCCCATAGATCCACTACTTTACTCACCAGAACTCTTTTTTTCCTTTACTATGTCAACTATGTTTTGCAATAGGTCTACTTAATGGTACCCTAAGTATAGAGGCAAAAATCTTAACCTGGAGATCATGGGTCATGAATGGACTGCAGGAAATATGGGAACCCCTTGGTAATTTATAAAAAATATAAATGCACATATCAGGGTGAATAAAAGTTTCATAGGAAACATTAAAAATGCCAATGCTTGCTTTCTTCTTTTCTTTTCTTCCTTCCCTCCACACCCTTTGGTACTAGGGCTCAAACTCAGGGCCTCAAGCATACTAGGCAGTGTTCTACTACTGAGCTACATCTCCAGCTCTAATATCTTTTTCATAACTATTTACTTTACAATTTACACACATTTCCTTCATTATTTTCGTATCAGTAGTACCATATTACCATATAAAATTTAACTAATGGGACACACTGGAAACAGACAAGAAAGCCAGTAAGAGTTGAGTTACAGTTTACAAATTTTATATAATATATCCATACATATAATGAAAGAAAGAATTTAATGTTATTCAATGTTGCATTTTACATTCATGCTTATAGCATAAGAGCTGTTCTTCAAAATATTTATTTGTTCTCAGAGTGAAAGTCAAACAAAATTACAAAAAAGGCAGTGTTTATATCTGAATAAAACGCAATTAAAAAACATATAATCTAAATATACAGACAGAATCTCCCCACAGTAGACAGAAAAAGTCATTTTCTAATACATCTTTTTCTTCAAGCCTAATTGCCATACACTTCCTGTAGTGTGTTAGTATAGTTCCATAGTAAAGATATGAATAATAATTACTATGTAAGAAGGCTTGCTTGGTTCTGCCACCTGCCTCACAAGTGCAAGGTCCCGAGTTCGATTCCCGGTACCAAAAAAAAAAAGACTTGCTGTGTGATATGCATGGTGCTAAGTGCTTAGTAATTAATTTTCACAATTATCTTAGGGCCACAAAGGTAAATCTTTTATAATCTGTGTTTTACAGAGTTTGATAAAACTAAAGCTTAGTAAAGTCAAATGACTAGATGTTACAACTATAATATGATAACACTAAGTGGAGAAGCAAAGCTTCAAACTCAGGAGTGTTAGACTCCAGTCTGTTCTTTTAACAGCTATAGAGTATTCTCAGTCTGAATAGTTAAGCTATAATAAATGAATTAAAACTGCTAATTATTGAGATTTTATAGATAAAGGTGTCAATGTCTCTTGAAGGTTTTGGTAAAGATTTTAAACATTATTATGGTAGAATCAGAGAAAGGTCCAAGATGAGAACCCATCTATATTTTCCTAATTAAAAATGTAGTAACTTTCATTCATTCTTCACAAAATTATAAGGAAAAAATAAGTCTTTTTTTGGTAACTCACTTATAAGACGAAAGAGCCAGTTCTGTAATCTTTTTCCAATAATTTCTAAAATTGATTCTGAAAGTGTTACTAAGTTGTTTTGGGGGATACTCACTATTTCTAGTTTTTCTCTCCTTAGGCAGTATAGTATTTAAGAGAGAAGATAAGATCCAAGTTCCCTTTTATTTTTAATCTTTCCTATTTCATTCGTTTTTGTATTTAAAAAAACAAAAAAAGACATGCGGGCTGGGGATATAGCCCAGTGATAGAGCACTTGATTAGCCTGCATGAGGTCCTTGGTTCAATCCCTGGTACTGCATTGAAAAAAAAAAAAAAGACAGACAACACTGAGTTTTTATTGTATACAATATGATATTTTTAAGTATATGTAACATTGTGGAATGGGACCATCACTTTTATCAAGTAGGACTGGTAACTCCCACAGTGAGACATGGTGTCCTCTATTTATTGAGACTGTATAGTTGCCAATCTGATACCGAAAGCTAAACAGTCTGAGACAGAGTGTTACTTAGGAATTTCAGTACATGTAGTCATAATACCTTGATTTTTTCTCTCTTCCCACCTCTGGTTTAGCTACAGGTTCCAGTTTACCAACTTAAAACATTAATTTTTGACAGAAGCTGTTCCCTGGACCTAATTAAAGAGTCTACGGTTAAGTCCTTCTGACTTAATGTCATATAATGGTCACCCCCCAATATCCTCAAAAACAAAAACAAAAAACACCACCACTAGATTACATTCTTTTTCAATTCTGACAGTCCATGAACTATTAATAAGGAATGGACTGGTTTAAGAATAGTTTTTTCCTCTCTCTTTCCCCCCTTCCCTTCTTCTTACTTGTAGCTCACCCTAATAAGTGGTAGTTTTTTTGGTGGTACTGAGGTGTTTTTATCCCTAGCCCCTTTAATTTTTATTATTATTATATTTTTTATTTTGAGACAGGGACTCACAAAATTGCCCAGGTTGGCCTCAAACTTTTTTTTTTTTTTTTTTAGGTACCGGGGATTGAACTCAGGTCCTTGCGCTTGCCCAGCAGGCAGCGAAACCACTGAGCTAAATCCCCGGCCCCAGGCCTCAAACTTTTGATCCTCCTGACTCAGCCTCCTCAATAGATGTGATTACAGGTATAAGCCATTGTGCTTGGCTCCTAAGAAGTTTTACATTCCCATTTCTAAGGTTAAATACTAACCAATCTGCTGATTTCCTCTTGTCTATCTGGTGCAGATCTTGCTGTTGCCTTGATCATAGTAGAAGTCTGATTGTCTGTTAGCTTTTTGATACATCGTTGCCCTGCCACAATATTACAGACCTAAAAATAGAAAATTTTTAAATATATATCTCTCTATATATTTTTTATTAGTTCTCAATGTCAAAATGTGAAATAAAAAATGTAAAATATACTTCATTAGACAGCTTCTTTTTAAAATCATCTTAAGTAAAAAAGCAGTGGACAAAACTACTTTAGCATATGATTATAATTAGGCTAAATGTACATGGGATAAAAAGAATGAAAGATATAAAAATGCTAACAATGATTATGGTATATAAAATAGTGGCTGGGCCAGGGATTTAGCTCAGTGCCACCATGCCTGCCTCACAAGCGCAAGGTCTTGAATTTGATCCCCAGTACAAAAAAAAAAATAGTGGTTATATATAGTGGTAGGACTACGGATGAATTTTTTCCGTATTATTTCTTCTAATTAAAATCTATAATAAATTAATATTTAAAAATAATTCAATACCAAAATAAATGTGGGAATATGGGGTAACTTACAGACCATAAAAGACCCACAAAGAATGATGAATAGAAAGATATTCATAAATAGCATAAAGACATTACTTCTAGTGGCAGGTAGGTATGTTTCTGCTCCTGCCCCACTTGCAGACAGGGAAGGTGTGGGTACTTCAGCTGAAGAGTATACTTTTCTCTGAAATACTGTGCTACTGTTCTCTCCACAGTTTGGCCATTTTCTAACTGTAAAGGAAAGCTGGAAAGAAAAAAAAGTAGACAGAAACAACTCTTATCCCACTATGAACTAATGTAACACCCAACCCACTATACCAAGAGCAAGATGCCTCACATCACCACTGCTCTGGCAAACACCAGCTTTTCTTACGTTTGATGACTGGCAGGCCTTCTTGTTACATTACAAACACGGTATTTTCGTCTCATTGTTCCACAATGAGTCACTTCAACTTTTAGACCTGTTCCCAACAAGAAAATGGAGGTTACAGAACTGTCACATCTAAAATACACTTATAAAGCCTGTTAACTACTTTAAAAACTCAATTCGGAGCACACAGAAAATCTGTGATACGGGCAATGTGACATTAACAAATTTTATATATAACATTGCTGATAATGGTTATAATTATAGTAGGCCTTAAAGTCAAACATTTTGCTTATTCTATCAAACTCCACATAATAAAAAACAATCATAAAATTAGCAAAGGGACAAAGTTCTGCATTAATAAAAACCCTGTTAACAATAAATTCAGGTATTTATGCTACAAAAGGGAAGAGGGAATGAAGTCTCAAGACAGTTTATAACCTTTAATGTATGTGATATTCAAATAGCCCAGTCATCACATACAAATTGAGAAATCAGAATTTCATAAGAAAGAAACCTTTCAAAGATTTATAAAGTGGGAAGAAAAACATGTCAGGCCCTTTTAACTTAAGCAGAGCAACAGTTTTATTGAAGTATAAGATAGTGACACAGCTCTTTTACAGTAAGGACTATAAGAAATCAAAAGTAACCAAAATAATTCCTAAAGCAGGTTACCCTCTAACTCCTTTGAGAATCTGATGAAAGTTAATAAACTCTCAGAAAAACATGCATACACATAATTTAGCACATGCTTTTATTATCCCTGTAGTCTATATGGGCTTTAGGGTTCAAGGATCCCAGGCAACCTCTAGAAAGTGAAGAAATGGGCTTTACATATGCTGAACTGGGGGAGGGGATATGAATTTTCCTAAGTAGTGCTGTCAAACAGAACTTTCTGAGATGACAGAATGGTCTACATTTGAGTTAATATGATAATCACTAGTAACATGTTTTACTGAGCAAATGAAATGTGGTTAATGTGCCTGAGAAACTAAAATTTCAATTTTTTTGGCAGGGGGGTACCAGGGACCGAATTTAGGACCTTGTGCTTGTGAGGCAGGTGGTGGAACCACTGAGCTAAATCCCCAGCCCTTAAAATTTCAATGTTATTTAATTTTAATTAATTTAAATAACTATACCTGGCTAGTGGCTACCCTACTGGTCAGTCTTGGAGCTACCTGGAGAAGAGTTAAAAAACAGACATATGGTGACTATTGGTCACAGATAAGCAACTCCAAATCCAAGTTTTGCTTGGATTCCAGAAGGTAAAAACCTGTAACAGGTATAGATGGAGGGCAATTTTTAGGTTCTAGACAGAATTTATGTTTATTACTTTTTGTATTTGTGATTCCTACAATGAAGCAGTTCTCAGCTGGGGGCAATTTTACTGCCTGGGAGACATACGTGTGAAGAAAAAGTTTTTGGCTGTATTGGGAATTGAACTCAGGCTATGTACACTAAGCAAGTACTCTATCAGTGAGCCACATCCCCAGACCTCAAGGAGACATTTTTTGACTGTTAGAACCTGGAGGATGCCTATTGGCAACTACTGGGTACAGGCCAAAGATATTCCTAAATATCCAGAATACACAGAACAGCACTACCTCTATCCCAACAAAGAATTATCTAGGCCACAAAGTCAAGAGTCAAGGTTAAGAAGGCCTACAGTATAATTTATTTTCTTATCTAATAATACTAAACATAAAGTTCATTCACAGTAAATGATATTTTCTTCTGATTTATCAGCATAAATTAAGATGCTAAATGAACATTCCCATTTTACATTGGTATGGGTTTCACTTGAAAAGTACTCCTAATTGAATCACTGAGAACTAGTTTTACCTTTACAAACTAAAATTTCAGATCAGAGAATTTACTATGCCTTTGTATTATAAAGGAAAGTAGAAAATACAAAGGAATGCCTTATAAGAAGGAAATACTATACCAATAATATGAAGTAAAGCAAGATGTAAAAATATCATCTTTAGGGGAAAAACAATAGAAAAGTTTAAAACAAACTTCTGTTACTTGTAGCACTTTTTTCCGAGTTTTTCCTGTGTATTAAACAATACTGATAAGGTTCTATATGCCTACAAAATAAGCTTTTACCAAAAGTAAATTGGTATTTTTATATATTTTATGGTACTTTTGCCATGTATTTTCCCCAATATTTCTGCTGTTTAACTACCATGAATTTTAGATTAAAAAAAAATAACCCAAAGTTATTATCAAATATTTGGAAAAAATTCAACTGGAGTAAAATGAATATACTAAAAATATATTCACCGTAGCAGTTTGTATCAATATTTAACAGTTAACAAGTTTCCTCATGCCAGTTAAAATATTAAACCCAAATAGTACAGAATATAAAACTGATTCTCTTGAATTATTGTGGTAGGAATACATGATGTACTTTGAAGAACCTTCTTTTTTTTTTTTAAAGTCTTCTTGACTTTGAATGGAAAAATAAAAATCACTGGTTTGTCAATTAGAGCCAACTCAAATTTTCCTACCCAAAATCTAGGATCACAGGTACTTAAGAATTAGATCCCCAAATCCAGGGAGCTAGCAAAAAAGTCAAAAATTTAAAAAATGGACTAGATAGTTCTCTGCCCAGGTGACCCCCCCAAGCCCTCCATCCAACCAAAGTTTTTTTTGCCTTTAATAAATATTTAACCTATAAACTTGGCTTTACCTTCACTATAACATCAACTTTATAATGCTTTCTAGTCATTTTTTCAGTCATTTCTTTGGGCCCCTGAGCAGCTGAAGTTAAGACCGAGTCCATGCTCTCCGGGCAGCAGTTGGATCCTTGTTCTGTACATCTTGTATTTTCTGTGAGGGAGTGGTGATATGAGTTGATTGCATAGTTACCAAAAAATAATGTAAATGATTTCATGATATCAGAGGTGGTAACTAAGCAGCAACTCCCCTGGAAACCATAGCATTTAGATGATCACATATATAATGGTAGGTAATGTACTAACCTCCTGATAATGCTAACTGCAGTTAATACAGGTTATGGAAGGACAATGATATGACTGCAAAACAGTTACATGTACTAGTTTCTTATTTGGGCACTTACATAACTTCAAATAAATAAACCCTTTTTTTTTTTTTTTTTTTGGTACTGGAGATCGAACTTGGGTCCTTGCGCTTGCGCAGCAGGCAGTGAAACCACTGAGCTAAATCCCTGGCCCCCAAATGCTTATTTTTAAAGCAGGAAGGATTTTCCTTTCAATGTTTTATTACAATGACTATCTCTTTTCTGGCTACTGCAGAAGGCAAAGAATGAACAATTACTGGAGCAAGCAGGATGTGCTCAGCTACTCTAACTGATATGGGGACTGAGAGATGGTCAGTGAGCAAACTTGAATATTTCATTCAAACAACAAGCTGAAAGATATCTGCAACAAATAGGTAAAATCTTAAAATAAAAACAACATAATTATTTCTGGCTACTTAAGAGCTAACAGTATATGATACTCATTCTGATAGGAGAACATCTAATTTCTCTACATGTCTAAATAATAAACTAAATACAGTGGAGTCACATTTTACTTTATTTTTTATTTTGTACCAGGGATCGAACTCATGACCTTGCGCTTGCGAGGCAGGTGGCAGAACCACTGAGCTAAATCCTTGGCCTGGAATCACATTTTAAATAGTAATTAAGTTCTAAAATCATCAACAAGGCAAGAACTATATATAATCAAAATTGTACATAATCATAATCTTCTTTTAAAAATCCCTTAAATTGCTGATAGCATAATATGTGTTTGGACAAAAAACTGTATATGTACTGTATATTTAAGTGTATTTAGAAATGGACATAAATAACACATATACAATCTACATTTTAGAATACTATTAAAATTATTTTTTCTTTTTCTTTTTGGGAGAACAGAGACATGAATTTAGGTAGGCTAAATGTGAATATGATGCAATACCACTGTACAAATTTTAGCTACTAAAACAGGCAACATTAATAATCAACTCTATAATGTTTATTAAATAGCTAAGTTATGACTCTAGAACAATATATGAAACAAGCTAGCCCCATATGATACATTTTCAAAAGAATAAAATTTAAAACCTAGCATATCCAAAAAAGAAGAAAGTCGACATATTACAATATGTTCAAAGAATGATTCTACTACTAAAGTAACAGTATTTTTTGGGGAATAAGCTTTCTACTTTTAACAGGAAGTATTATCATATGAGACACTCCTATTCCTTCAGCTAGGAAGAGAGTATAAAGAAAAAATCAGCTACTTATCAATGTTAATTCCATTACTTGCCATATCCTTCAATTAAACATTACCTAAATTGAATTTAATGTTTTATAATTGATCTATATTTCTACCAATATTAGATTTTAATTTTAAAAACATTTCAATAAGTTATTATATCCATGCTTTTTATAGTTAAGCTGTTCTAAATGCTAATTAGTTCACCTTTTATCTCTTTGGTGAATTTTACCCGATGCGAGTCAGTCAGAGGTCTTGGTTGCTCATCAATATTATGAATGTCAAGAACTTCACACATGAACTGAATTACAGGTTGTGCTTTGTAGAAGGCAGTGGCAGAAACTAAAAGGAAAAAAACCACAAATAGTACAGATTAGTATTTCCCTAAGAAAATTCAGAAGCTTCACTTCAGGCTCTATGATAATTATCTACAGAGTTAAAATGATTCTTTATGTGTGTATATATGCATATATAATTTCCCCATATCAAGCAGTTTCAATATGACCTCTGAGGCACAAGAACAGAAAGATCAATTCTACAGGGTTTACAATCTCTTTCATTACAGGTACCTGAATCATCCCACTCTTAACTCCATATACAAGAGAAGTATTCTACATGAGACACTACCTGTAAAGGAAAAGGGTCAGATGAAAAAGTAGATTATTACTTTTTTTTTTTGGTACCGGGGATCGAACTCAGGTCCTTGTGCTTGCGCAGCAGGCAGTGAAGCGAAACCACTGAGCTAAATTCCTGGCCCTATTACTTCTTAAATAAGGTTTCCTACATTGTGTGTGTGTGTTGTATTTTTTTGGTACCAGGGATCAAACTCAGGACCTTGCTCTTGCAAGGCAAGTGACAGAACCACTGAGCTAAATCCCCAGCTACATTGTATATTTTTGTGAGAGTTTTCTTACAATGATCTGAAAAAATAATGGTTATTACATCCAAGCTATAGGAAGCAATATTAAAGGGTATCTGCCCAATATTTTTCAGGCAGTCAACCAGCAAAGCCTTGGGTTTTGTAGAAGAACTTCACCCAAGGTTAGCAGACCACCATCATTCATTTCTTTAACACATACTGATGCCAATTATGTGCTATAAAGGTGCTGGGGACATAATGAAAAGTAAAACCAGACAGACAATAAGCTACATGCAATTCATGTTATTTTTCTGCTCATAAGACAGGCCCACTGTCTGTTGAGGTAGGTATAAAAACTTTATGTGGTGGTTTTTTCTTTCCTTGATTTAGGATGAAATGTCCTCCACAAAATGTCCATCACCTCTCCAAAAATATTTATCAAAACTTTAACAGAACGATATTGACCAGACTGGTTTCTGGCATTCCTGTCTGCTCGCGAGAAGAAATTTTATTATTTTATCCGGAAAAAAACCCCAAAAAACCCCCACAAAACTTTAACAGTAGTTTTCATGCCAGAAATGTGGCTCAGTGGCACCATGCCTGCCTGGCAAGAACAAGATCCTGAGTTTGATCCCTAATACTAGAAAAAAAAAAGGACTGTAGCTTTCACAGGATATCTGAGGGTTGCTGAGGGCACTATGGGTATTTTTAATTTTTTAAAAAAATTACTTGTCCTTTTTATTTTAAAGGTTGCAAAGACAATACTTTTTCACCGAAAACCGGTATAGGAGTAGGAAAATTGGTAATTGGCAAGTTGCCTATTGCAGCTCTGGAGAAACAGGCAACTTCTATTTCAGAGAAGCTAGAGCTGTGGTGCTCCTCTTTGAGCAGCAGAGCATCTCTCCACTGCACTTCACTCAGCAAGGGCCAGATTTGTAGACTGCAGCTGCTGGGTCACACTCAACTACCCTTCATTACACCCTTCTTTTCAGAAATTTTCTGGTAGGACCATTGTGTCAATCTCCTCCAAGATCTTCATAAACTGCTCAACTGTGCCTTTTACTCTCCTACTGAGTTTGCAGAGAGCTTCACTTTGCAAATCCTTGGCTAGAAAACCTTGCTAGTTCTTTATTCAACTCTTCCAGGTGGTCAGCTATCTTCTCCACAGACATCTCCAAAGTTTTCAACTTCTTTAGGTCAAACTCTTCCTGTGGATTACTCTTTTCCCCAATTAACATGACTGGTCAAGCATTCTTTATTTCAAGTGCTGACAACTGCATCTATTTCCTTCGGCAATTTTCCCTTAAATATGAACTTTTGAAAAAGCAATGGAAACCCTGTGACCTCTTTAACAACCTGGGCCAGGTCTTGGACAACTGGTTCAGTGCTGTCCTGCTGACAGGAACCAGGAAGTCTGTGCTTTTCATTGCTGTGGTGATGGTCATGCTGACTGAGCCCAGGGTCTGCCATTTCCTGGGTTAAGGTCACTTCTTTAGTCTGGGCGACCTCCTCTGTCCTGGTCATGTCCTTTGTCGGGGTCGAGTGGGGACATGTTTTATTTTTTACCCGTGGCCTGAGAGAGCCCCTGGATTGGTCATGTTCACTGGCTGCATTCCGAACAGATGATGGATGCTAAGGAGGCGGCAGACCGGGAACCTGTGCTCCACCAGGCCAGAGCTTGTTGACTGACTGCCCAGTGGAGGAGCTCAAGAATTCTTTTTTCTTTTTCTTCATGGTGAGTACATATTATATTTTCCTTTCTTTACAACAGAAATAGTACAGAAATGAAGTATTATCATAGGGACACAAACAATATAGACACACAGTAAAGACCCTTTCCAATCTCAATCTTCCCCCTCCAAGGATCTCTAAAAGCAACCATCGTTAGTAGTTAGGTATGTATACATCTCTTTTAATGTACACTTATAAAAATAAAAATGAAGTGGGACCAGGGTTTTAGCTCAGTGGTTCTGCCGCCTGCCTTGCAGGTGCAAAAAAAAAAAAAAAAAAAAAGAAGAAATAATTTTTAGATGGGATCTGATGAGAAATGCTCCATGACTTTATCATTATTTAAAAAAATTAACAGCATGTTTTAGAGATCTTTTCATGTCAGAACACTGTTTTTAATGGCTAATGGCTACATATTATTCCACAGTGTGGGTGCATGACAATGAACTGAACATGTATTCTTTTCCCCTCATAGTAAAAAAGAACACTAATGGTAAAATATTAAAAACACTATTTTGGGGTGTTATTTTTCTTGTACAGCTCTATCTTAAAGAAGGTCTATATGTCCTAATATAGAATTATATGATTCTTTTTCACAGCTGTAGGATATCCCATTGCATGAATGTGCTATATGTCCCTAATGATGGATAGCTGTTGGTTTTGTTTTACTATTACAAACAATATTCCATTGACTACCTTATATATACTTTGTGTACATCCATGAGTACATGAGAAAAAGACTTAAGATACTTACAAATACTCATTTGTAACTTTCCATCCAAATAAACTTTAGAAATGCTTTTAGTTTTTTAAAAAAGGAGCTGCCTAGCAGGGGGGAGACTTTAATTTTGATCCCCAGCATGGCCAAAAATATATACATTACTCTATTGAAAAATGTAAAAATATTGTGCATAAAGAAAAGATTGGTAGGATATCTACCAAATTTAAGTCATATATTCATACTGTTTAAGTATATATTGATCTGGGTTAATTTTTAAAAACTAAATAAAAGAAAATAAAGATATGGTGAATAATGTGCTTATTTTGGCTTTCCTTTAATTCTACAAGTAAATTTTCTTTACTAGAGTGCTATAACACTAGCATTCACAACTAATGTTTTACACACCACAGAGTTGTAATTACTAAGCTAACATGTTGGAATTATTTCTCCTGTTTAATTCTCATCTACAATTTTTCTGTTAATCCCATTACACTCTTAATCATTTCAGTATTTACCATCTTCTCTATAAGAATGTGGTCGTTTGAGGTGAAATTTAAATTTGGTGATAAAAAGCTCTTTAAAGGATGGGTTGAAATCACAATAGTTCTTTTCTTTTCTCTTTTGAGACAGAGTCTTGTTATGCAGTTCAGGCTGGGCTTGAACTCACTCTGTTTGTTGCTCAGGCTGGGCTTGAACTCAAGGTGATCCTCCTGTCTCAGCCTCCTGAGTGCTCAGATTACAGGTGTGCTCCTCCATGCCTGACCACAATACAGTTTTTAATTAGAATGAATTTAAATTATCAAAGGTCTGCTTTAACCAGGTGTGATGATCCATGCCTGTAATCTCACCTACTTGGGAGGCTGAAGCAGGAGAATCACAAGTTCAAGGCCAGTCTGGGTAACTTAGCAAAAATTTGAAAAAACAACAACAAAAAAGGACTGGGGATATGGCTCAGTGGCAGAGTGCTTGCCAACAAGTACAAGGCTCTGTGTGGAATATCCAGTACCACAAAAGACAAAAACAATAGCAGCAGCAACAGCTAGTAATAATAAATGTCAGCCCCTTGGCTGAATCCTTAACATTTTATTCCTTCTTCATAGATTAGCTGATTATCATTGAAAAAGAGTCTACATTTAACATTTAAAAATTTATTAAATCAAATATACTAATATAAGTACACAATCATTTTTATAGATTGATGTTCCCAAAAAAGCATTTGATAAAATTAAGCACTGTAACAAAAATTTTTACTATATTGGAAACAAAAGGGAATTTCTTTAATCTGATCAAAGTTATCCACCAAAATCTATGACAAATTCAACTTTCCTTGATAAGAAGTTCTAGCTAGCAAAGTAAAGCAAATTAAGAGAAATAAAAGGTAAAAGGGCTGGAAAGAGAGAAATAAAATCATTACACTTTATAATATGACTATCTATATGGAAAAACAATAAAATCTATAAATTAATTACATAATTAATAATCCAGAAATGTTAGATTTTAGATCAACATATAAACATTCTTATATACTAACAACCAATTTAAAATATGATTTAAAAAAGATACTACTTAATCACAACAGAATTTTAAAGTACTTAGAATGGATGAAGTCTAAACAAAAGATGTGTAACACCTATAGAAATAATAGGTATCTTTGTTATTGAAAGCTTTTACAGGTGATTTAAATAACTGGAGAACTGTATGTACCCTATTTGTGTGGATTATCTGTGAACTGATCTACAAATTCAAAGCAATTTCAGTTCAATAGGACTGAAAATATATCCAATAGGCTACAGCCCCTCCATCTCTTGGAAATTAAGAGGCTGATATTGTAATTAACATAAAAGAACAATGAAACTGAAATAATCAAGACAATTCTTAAGTTATGCCCTATCATTTATCAAGCTTTGTAATAATCCTATTCAAATCAAGAGAATGTGAGGATAGACATACAGATCAGCTTGAAACCCTAACTCATACTACTGTATAAACAAAACCAAATTTCTATTCAAAGAACTAAATCTGAAGAGGAAAACA